GTGGGGAGGGGGTTGCTTTCATAGGCAGGGGACACAAAGGCTAGGAACCGTAGCTCAGGTGGAGGGGCTCTGTGTCCCTTTAAGACGAGATGTTCTTGAAGTGAGATAAGGTAGGATCAGGGCTGGCTGGGCCCTGGATTGTTACAAATCTCAGCAGCTGGGCATCCTGCCGGAAAGGAGCCAGAAGGATACATGGTTGCAGTGGACTTATGGGCTTTTGCTGAGCAAGGTCCAGGCCCTACAGGGGGTTTGAATGATGTTTGTACAGAAGCTTGAGGCTACTCTTAAAGACTTCACTCATAGCTAACAGAGGAGCTGTTTACTAATTATTTCCAAGAGATAAGAGGAGGTACAGGAATACTTGAAAACATGAGAAACAACACAAGTCCATAAAAAACAAGTTTTAGTAACGATTTTAATAATCTTCCTGGGATCATTTTGTAATTCAATGTTTCTGAAGGAGGTCATCATTTTATAGGTGATTAATGTTCTCAGCACCTATTTAAACTTTTGTTTTTGGAAAACTTCTTGTAAGTGAGTGCTGTTACTGCTATCTCTGTCTTCATACCTCTTTTTTTTTTTTTTATAATTTTATTTATTTATTTTTTTCCCCCAAAGCCCCAGTAGATAGCTGTATGTCATCGTTGCACATCCTTCTAGTTGCTGTATGTGGGACATGGCCTCAGACTGGCCGGAGAAGCAGTGCGTGGGTGCGAGCCTGGGATCCGAACCCGGGCTGCCAGCAGCGGAGCGCGTGCACTTAACCTCTGAGCCACGGGGCCGGCCCTTCATACATCTTTTTTGTTGTTGTTTTTCTTCTTTTCTCTTTATAGTTTTCAAGTTTGGTAAATGATGGCAGAGTATAAGTGTCAAGTGGCAAATTATTGGGTATTCCCTAAACCCTTTATCTGAAGGAAAATTATTTTTCTGAATCCATATTATTAGTCAAAAGGGAAAATGACTGACATCACTAGATTATACTTAAATTTGCGCTACAGAGGGTACCATGTCTTCTTTGTCGCGTGGGAGGAGATACTGCCGATCCATTTCAGTACTCTTTGTAATGACAAGAGTCTTATTTAGAGCAAGACTTGTGTTTGGAAATGCGTTTGGACATCCTCGCAGATAATCGTAAAGGGCAAAGAAAGTATTGCTTTTAGAAAGGGATGGTATGCTGTGCTAATGTTTCTTTAAAAACCTCATGCTTTCGCAAGGGGTTGTGATGGGGTGAAAATTGGATCATGGGGGCAAAAAAAATCTTACTATTTTATATATAAAACACAGATATACATATAGTACCTAAATAGATATATCATATATGCTCAGTATAATGATTTCATGGGAGAGTGATTAGGGAAAAAAAGTCATACAGAGCTGCTGGGTGGAGCAATAATTAATTACATTAAATTAAATTTAAATTTAATTTGAAAAGGTTGAGAAACACTGTATAAACCGTTAACTGTTAACACTTAAAAGCAGCAGTGTTGGAACTAGAGTTAATTTTCCTCCTCCAGAAATGTCATTTGAGGTGTTAGATGTTAAATGTTGGTGTTAGCTCACATGGTAAATAGTGATTTTTTTATTCTTTCATGTCTAGAGAATTTGTTGTGGTTAGTCATGAGAACAGGGCTTTAAAAATCAATGGAAAGGTTAGGAATCAGTAGTGACATTGGTTTTGCCAATTAAATCTCCAAGGAAAACTTGAACATTCGCTTCAGGCTTTTATCCTTGAGAGCTTGACCACTCTACAAGAGGCGAAAAGAACATTGTGTGTCTGTGTGGGATGGGAACCCAAGGAGCTTAGATTTAATTTGCTTTTGTTGACAGCCTAGGCCATGTACAAATTTGCATTTATTTATTTATTTATTTATTTTTTAATTTTTT